CTCAAAAAGAGTCAAAATATTTTCAAAATTGTATGGTGTATAGGAAATGCTAATATAAACATTCAGTGAAATTTTCATGTACCTACAGTTATTCGTTTTTGAATTACAACAAAATAAGGAAATCGCTACATGAGAAATCGAGTGAAAATCCAATGTTGTAAAAATTTGAATTTCAAACGCTCATAAAAATTTAATTTGACTGTCCGGTAGAGATTTTTTTATTGATAAAGGTAGATAATCTTATAAGGAATCTTGTGTTTCATTTTCAAATCTTAGATTTAAAAAGAAAAATTTTTACGAATTCTTAACTCAAAATAATTTGCTAATTTTCGTGATTTTTCCATATTTTGTCAATTTTTGAACTTTAAATGCTTATAAAAAAAAATTGTGACTAAGGATTTTTAATATTTTTCATCTGCCTTTGAAACAACATATTAGGAGCCTTCTATTAAATTTTCAAGCTTTCGCAACCAACAAATAAAATTTTATTGATATTTCTAGAAAAAAAACTAAAAAAAAATGAAAAATGAAAATGTCCCTAAACAGTTCAAAATAAATCAAAATATTTTGAAAATGTTATCGTGTATAGAAAATGCAAATATAAACAACCAGTGAAAATTTCATGTATCTACGGTCATTTGTTTTAAAGTTACACCAAAAACCAAATTCGATTTTTTGGAAAATCGATTTTGCGTAAAAATTCCCGTTTTTCCTTAATTTTTATGTTGTTTTTCCCGGCGCTTGTGAAAACTACTGGAAAATGTTTACTTTTGACCCCCCAAAGTACCAACTAGATTCACTTTCCTATCAGAAAAGGTACTATTGAAGAAAATCGAAGCACTTTTACTGTCCCAAAACGTGATGACAGACACAAAAATATAAATAAAAATATAAATAAAAATATAAATAAAAATATAAATAAAAATATAAAAATATAAAAACATACATCATTGTAAAACCAATACATTCATCGCTCCGCTCAGAATCTAAAATAATTTCTTTCTTGGGCCGTAGACCGTAGTATATAATCTATTTTTATAATTTAGTATACCAGCTATTATAGGCTCCACTCCGAGTTACCGAATATCGCCACCGCATGCCCGCATATCGAAATAAGTTCAAATAAATAGTCAATAGACTTGACAATATTATTATACTCTTATTATAAATTATAATATTATTATTCACATTAATTATTAATAGTACCTACTAAAATAAATACTATACATAGTATAAAATATAAACACTATGATGTATGGTTATCCGTATACACTTTTAGTAATCACTTATCATTTTACTTTGTATTATTTCAGTATTCAATGATTTTATTTACTTGAACCGAAATTTTTTAAAAAGTACATAATTTTGCTGCGAGGCGCCGAGGCTCCTTTCACGATGAAGCCCGAGGAAAATCCCGCCTTCAATCATATGTAGTTCCGCCACTGTGTGGTAAGACTAACCTAACTGTGCTTTTTAACCAAAAATATGGATTTGTGAAGGTTTATGATTTAAAATTTAAACATAAATTAATAATATATGTATAATATATAAAATAATAAACTAATTATCTACTTAATTATCTCCAGTTCTAAATTCATTCATATAGAATCAAAAATGAGAAGAGCGTTTTAAGTAGTTTTATCCATACATTTCCAAAATTGGTCGTTTTACTTAAGTTTGAGCAGAACAAATTTGCTCTGCCCATAAAATGTAGATTATTTTAAAGTAGACCAAATTTAAAATGTTTAATATGACAGTACATACAATTAGATTATTTAACAACAAATTTACCTGGAAATAAATTGAATGATAATAATAAAAATAATAAGACAAGAATATTATGTAGGACGTTTTATTGTTTTGGCATGTGTGTGGACAATATACATAAGTATTGTATAAATAAATAATCTTAAGCGTTTAGTTATTGCTTTAATACATCTAATGAATAAAATAAATAAAGTGTCATAATATGCAAGTACACAACTATATAATATTTAAAATAGGGGGACGAGGTGGCCGAGTGGTCTAACGCGTCGACTGCGGCGCTGGCAGTCGCGGGTTCGCCTCTCGACCACTGGGCGGCATTTTTCTCCGGGCAAGTCACGGTGTCCGGAGTACAAGTGCCGCCATCCCCCAACCCGGGGCATGGCAGAAACCTACGGGTGCCCCAATAAAAATTCTGCCACCACAAACACACACGTGTACCAACCTACCCAAACTAAAAACCTACAGTTCCCTACCAACACCCAATGGCCTATGTTGCCGCGGGTTATCCAATAAAAAAAAAAAAAAAAAAAAAAAAAAAAATATTTAAAATAGTAATCATACATCAGGCCATCAGAATAGGTGAACATTAACATTTCCGAACATTAATAAATTAACACATAGGTACATTGTATCATCATATTACTAAACAGTAAACGATAATTAATCAACAGTTTATAATTTATATCCAATTTAACAAAACAAACAGTGGCGCCAAAAATTACACACCTATTATAATTTATAATATCATCACTAACTGATCTCAAATAAAAGCATGAACAAAGCATCAGGCATGTATAATAAAAATAATAGTAATTTCAATTAAATGCTGGTAGGAAAAGGAAGTGGTAAGTATACATTTGTAAACCATTTCATAAGTCAACAGACAGATAATAATTTTAAAATGGACTATATTAGGTTTATACTATATAATATTATATATACTTTTTTTTTTAATTGGAAAATAGATTATTAAGATTTGACTTTTTTATTTGCATTTCCTAAAAATACATTACAATATCCTTAAATTATATTGTTTAAAGACATCACTGTATTATTTAAATTGAGATCGATTTATGCAAAATTTATAATATTTTAAGTCCACAAGAAAATTATAATTTCAGCACAATGTTAAAGACTTAATAAAATAAAACATTTGGTCTGAAACATACTCAGATTTATAAATCTAAACAACTTAAGCTTTCAGCACAATAATACAAACCACTAACTATAACATAAGTATACACATTGTATGTCTTTTGACAACATTATTGTGTCGTCTTCAAAAACTTAATACTTTTAAAACAATCAGATTGAGTTAAGTTAGTACAATAATTACTCCTTTACAATATTTGACTCCTGGTTGAGTAATAAAATTATAATATAATCATAGATTAACTGTCCTATAAATAAGCTAAATTATGCTGATAAATGATAACAATATAACAGTTAAATTAAAAATGAAAACAACAAAATCTGAATACGTCTATAAAGGAAAAAGAACACAAATCACAATTGCTAATAATATAATTGATTACAACAAATAAATTTAACTCAAGTTATTATTATGAAAACAAAATTATTAGCAAATTATGCTAATTGCATAAATTAAGAGAAAATCCATTAATACATCTTATTAATCTATGAAACTCATTTAGTATCACTCACATTATTAATGTTTATTTTTATTTTACTATTATTTATTTTATCACAACTTATGTGCTATTAGAGATCTTAAGCTATACTGGCTAAATATAGATCTACGGCAGTCAACAGTGTAAAATAAGTTATAGGTTTGATAACATTTTATAAACACAACATTTTATTTTTTCTGAGTAAATGTAATTTATAAAATTTACTGTTTAGGTAAGGATAATTTTTTTAAGTAAATATGAATTATTTGTCAATGGGAAATTTTAACAGATGATAAATAAACTTAAGTCTCATCAAAAAATACTCAGAAATTATATTATATGAATAGAACATGAGCGTACAAAAATATAACACTTAAATAAGATTCATGAATATTCAGAATAGTTTTGCATAATACCCCAACATTTCTCAACTGTTTAAATGTATAGTAAATAGGTTTATATTAAACTCAATGATATAATTAGTATAAAATGTATAAACAGTTCCAATATTTAAGGGCTGTTCACAAACTACTCAGTATATGCCATTATTATTGATTCTTTATAACAGAATAGTTATTGATTAATATTTATGAAATTGCTATGTTATCTTCATTATTTTTAATCATGATGTTTTTAAATAAGATTATTTTATATGCTTTAAGATATCAAAAACTTATTTTCTATATAATTATTCTATATTTGCAAAAAAACATAAATTAAGCTTGATAAAAATACTAACAAAAATGTTTATTTTTTTAAATTACATTTCTAAAAAAATTAATTATGAATAGCCTTGGTTCATAATAATAATTATCTAGATATTTAAGAGTAAGGAACTTAGGCTTTGGCCATTTTTATTTCATTTTAGGGACTATGCATGTGTGCATTTTTACAATTTAAGTTAAGCGTTTTGTAGATAAGATTATCCATAACTAAGTACATATAATTATATAAACAACAGCCAGAGTAAAAATAAAATACTTTAAAACAATCAATTAATTAATAATATTAGTCAGAGGAAACTTAATAATTTTAAGATGCAGAAAAAGATAATAATTAATTTTTCACAAGAACCAACTGCAATCACAATAAACTGAAATATAAAATAAAATAAAATAATAATTTAAACCAATGAATTAAATAAAAAGTTTTTTAAAAAAAGTCAGACTTCAGAAGAGTAACAAAACGTATAAAACACCATACTACAGTTCAATATAACATAAGATAATAAAGATACACAAAGCAATTAAAATATTATTTGTTGGTAAATATCCATTTGAAGTTGTACACAAATAAAATCAATCGTGCAAGTTAACTCAATTAAGTATATTAAAACACGATTACTTATATGGCTAGATATATTATAATTGTTTTTATTTTATTTTAAGTCAATGGAGGCAAGAAACATAAAAAAAAATGATTTCATATGGAAATGTATAATATGTATTTCAAAAAAGTAAGTCTTTTATTTTAAAACATCTGATGAGTGTTTCAAAATATTATTTTTTTTTTAAATTTATTGCAATTTTTAATCTATATTAAACAATTTAAACTAACCTAAGTTTATGAAGTAAAAAAACTCACATGAAATGTTAAAACTAATCAGTCGAAACTTATAAGGTTATCGGGTAATTTAGTGTCAGGTTGGTGTACTGACTGTGCTGCATGGTACAATCGTCTGTACCATTGTAACGCTGTATTGTCACTCTCAGCTCGAAACTTATATGTATTTCCTAAAACAATCATAAATTTAGTCAGACAAATATACTACTTCAGAATAAAAATAAATCAAGGTGAAATATTTACTTTGATCAGGATGCTTGATTAAAAATGTATCTGGATTATCACCAAGACTAATAGTGCATCCTTTTAACGGACAAAGTTTGCAAGGCTCTCGTTTAAAGTCATTTCTGTTACAACTGTAAAGAAGACAATAGTACATAATATATACATACATATATACATGCATACACACGTATTGATATTTTGTAATCATACACTTACCCTTTAAACGACTTAGGTGAGTAATAAATTAATACCGATGCCCATAGTTGTATCCAATAACGTTGCCAAGTTGTCACAGCTGGTTTTCGTCCATTTTTCAAAACCACTTTACGCCTTAAACAACTTTCTAAACTTATTTTATGGGCTCCTTTCAATGTTCTATTTAAACATACATTTCAATATATTTCAGTCATACATTGTATTTATTATCATTATAATTTATGGTACTCACTGAGAGGGTGATAGATTTAAATTGGACAGATCTAATGTGTTCTCTTCTATGAGCGAGTCATCTAGTAAATTTCTCGAGTTTACAGTTGACAATATTCCTTCATCAGATTTATGGATCAAACTAAAAAAGTGTATATTATTAAGAAATTTATAAAAAAAAATCATGAATTAGGAAATACTAAGAAATAAATACATCAGCATAAATAAATTAAAAATATCTTATTAGTTGTTAAAAGTTAAATATTTATTAAATAGCATTTATTATACCTACTTACTTTATACAATAAATGTTTAAGTTTTTTTTTTTTTTTCCGTTGGTCTTAATTCTTTAACAATAAACATACCTATTAGGTATTAAGTTTATAATTACTCTCTAAATACTTAAGCAATTAGAAATACTATGTCATGTGAAAAATATAAAATTATAAAATTAATTACTATAATTGATATACTATACTATGTCATAATTAAAGTACATCATACTATCAAAACTAATTGTAAATCCAAAATAGCAGGAAATTAATTTTTCTTATAATGTTGTAAATAATCATAAATTAGGAATTTAAGGTAGGTGACTACTGAATGCCTTATTAATTTTTTTAGAAATACTTTGTACTTGACTAAAAATGTGTATAAAAATAATTTTTAATAAACATTCAATTATTATTTTACACATACATTATTAGTATACTAGCTGAATTATTTGTATCTGTATTATATCTGCATATAACACCTTAAGAGGACGCCACATCCGCATAAACGTACAAGTGTATAAGTGTACAACACAGTCAATTTTACGTTGACAATAATCCATTTTACTATGTTGTTTTTGAAGTTAGAATTGATTGGCCCATGATACAATTTACTGGTAAAATTAATATCAAGGGCATCTCATAGGCTTTTTATTATATTTTTATTTTAAAGCGAGTTATGAGTATTTTAAAATTGTTAATTGTTTGTACATCTTAAAATACTGATAACTTGCTTTAAAATTTAAATACAATGAAAAGCCTATGAGAAGCCCTAGATAATAATCTTACCTCTAAATTTTATATGAGGTCATTTCACTATAATTTTGTAAATTATTGAGTAAATGTATTATTGTGAAAGTAAAATTTGCCATGTTGTATGTTCATAAGATAGAGACAATACATGCAGGTGTGGAGTTCTCTTAAGACTATATTCTTCAGTGGCACAAATAACATAATAATATCTTGGACTTTTAAACATATACTCAAATTATATTTTATGTTTATACCGAAAAATGATGGTAATTATATACTATATAGGGTGGGAAATTAGTGTTTAGTCATAAAAAAAATATAATATGTATTAATTGTTTTATTAATCCCATGACAGTCATTAATTCATATTGTATAGGTTAATGAAATTTGAATTATTAATATAGAAATTAAGAAGCGGGTAAGTGGATGTCGCTCTGCTGTATAGTAGGTTACAAGTGGATTGTATTAAATTTGAATTCAATGATATAATTTCATTGTATAAAAAAAACGATTCTGAGCGAAGACGGTTTGTCAGTCTAGATATTTTATATTGTTATTATTTATTACATCATGTAGGTTGAGTTAATATTATAATATTATAATTTTTTATTCGTTTCTATGGTGATAAAAAAAAGCGTTAGAAATTAAAATCCCATTTTTAGTGGTTTTTCTTAATTTTTCAGTGGTTTTTCCCGTGGCATTAAATAACTATTGATAAAATCAAAAAATGACCTTTTTAAAGAACCATCTTGATCCAATTTGCTAAAATATAAGGTACTATATGTTGAAATCGAAGGACTTCTTCTAGTAGAAATTTAGTATACAGGATATAAAAAAAATAAAAAAATTAATAAATAAACACCATTGTAAAACCACTAGCTTCCTCGCTCCGCTCAGAATCTAAAAGTTGTAATACTACAATGTTTTTCTTGTCAGTTTGCATTATGACATCAATAAAATATAAAACCTGGCAGTATATGAACAACAATTCATAATCTAAAGAAATGATAATTATAGTGAACTGAAAATAAATTCAAAAATTGAAATTAATGTCCACCATTATACCAAACACTAAGTATGAAAACTAATTGAATCAATACAATTTGTTATACAATTAGGAATAAAAATATTGTGTTAATGAGTTTCGTAAAAATGTAAAAACATTTTATAAAATATGTTTACAGACCCATTGTCTGCAATAAAAACAGAATAATATTAATTTTCTTCCTGAACAATAAAACAATACTTCAAAGGTGTGCATATTTTAAAAGTCACCACGATAGGAATTATACATTATTTTATGTTTGATATCATAAATTTAGTTTATTGACATAATATAATATGTATTATGAATTAATGTACCGGTGTCAATAACACACATTCTTACATATAGCTATTACTTTATACCAATCAATAGTACAACAATTCACCATTATTTAAGAGGGGTTGAACTAAATTAAAGTAGGTAAACTCTTTCCAATTGTACACACGATCAGACACTACGTACTGAGATACAAAATTAATTGAAAAAATATAATTTAAACCATACAATTATAATTTGTTAAAAAATGTAATCAATTAAAAATATTGTTTTATTAAGAATACAATATTCATGTACATTTTTAGTTGTATAAAAAAAGAAACTACCATACCAAAAACAAAATAAGTTGGAAAAAAGCACATTGATTATTTTTTTCAGCCAAAAGCAAAAATAGTTAACAGCAAGATCTACAACACTTGTGATAAAAAAAAAAATATGTGCAAAGAATCAACACTCTAAAACCTAACTGCTTACCTATTATTATTACAAACTGCAGATTGATTCACAGGTTTTTTAAGAAAACTACGTGGTAGACTTGCACTGCGATATCTGATTAAAAAATAAATGTATGTTTAAAATGACTACAATAGTCATTGACAACATATGGACAGTGGACACAATTGTTATATTTTTAAACTTATAATCGAATGTTAATGATATTATTTAAAGGTCAACAATAAAAATAAGTTGGATTTAAGTATTATATCATAGTATCTGGATCTGCTTACTTTGAACAATTTGTTTTCTGTTGTTGTTGCTTGCATAAAGAAAATTTTCTTATTCGCATTAAATCGGTTGATTTTGCTGGTGATAAACTCAATGAATCTAACAACACTTGATTGACGGATTCTTTGGAACCTCTAGAGTTTTCTGTTTGGCAGGATAAAGGTTCTAACTTTAATGATAATCTAAACACAATATACATGAAATAGAAAAGTTTAAAATAATTAGAGCATAATTTACTACATTGCAATGCATACTTATATTGGTCATCTTGAACAAACTTATGCAGTTCTTCAATATATCTAATAGAGTTCAAATAATCATTTATCCTAGGAAGCCGTATCAGATGATCATAACGGCTCTGCTGCATATGTGATATTACTCTTAGAATATTATTCATTTTCAGACGCCTTGCTTCAGATTCTAATAAGCCGCTACTTTTATGAGGATGTGCCATATCAACATACACCAAATCAGTCAAAAATACACCTAGATGTACATATATATTTTTAGAAAAATTAATGCAAATAAATAAACTTTTTATATTATTTATTTATTATTTACCTAAATAAGGTATGCATGGTAAACGTAAGGTTTCTAGGTGATCCCGAAGATTCCTCCAGTTATTACATTCTGAGAAAACATTGGCTAGTTTATCAAATGATTGCCGATCTTTCTTCGACACATTGTTCCATGATTTAGATAGTCTAATCAACAATATAACAAATTTTGAAATTTGAGTTCAATCACTTTATGAATTAGAAACTCACCTATAAACTGAAGCACTTTGAAGGGAGGAAATAACAGCAAATAATGAATGGAAATTATTAAGGTCATACAATTTTTTGGAGATCTTTATAAACTGAGTGATCAGATCAGCACGCAGTTTTGGAGTGGCGCCTTTCAAAATTTCTTGAACAACCCAAAATGATACCTGAAAATGTATTATGTTTAAAATTTGATCCAACAAATTTTGATATTTGATATTACTTACATGATTGAATTGCCTAGTAAATGCTACTACATTTGGTGCAACTTCTAGTTTTTGCTTCTTGTTCCAAGAACATGAAGACAACTCTTCTGGAGATATTTGACTAAATATATTTAAATCTAATAATGTGAGTTGGGCAGCCCAATCTTCCGGAAGTATACCAGGAGACAAAACACCCTTAGTCTTATCAACATCTTTTTCATCGACCGGTGAAACACTATAAGGATGTTTTAATGTCATATTACAAGGAAGACTGTGAGTTTTACATTGTCTTGCTAAGCCACTGTAAAAAAAAAAAATATGCTAATACTTAATTGTACAAAAAAATTATTGCTTAACATTCAAGTACTAATAAATTAACGATAAGTGTATTATATTATTATTACACTATAGTATATAGGTAATGTTATGAAGTCTAGTAGTTGCACAAGACCAAAATGTTACAAAATATAAAATATTATGATAACAAGTTACTTGTTTACAATAATATATATAATGTTATGTTGTAGGTATTATTTATTTATCATGTATTTGGTCCCGGTACTTGCAAACACAAATACGATGTCGGATACAGTGACTGTGTATAATCTGTTCATAAGATGTTAATGCATTTAATTGTAATATTATTGCTAACTTTTATTTTTATCACAATGTAAATCTAGTTAACCAGTCACAGCTGATCTGCAAGTTTTCTAGTTCACTGGATACTTTTAATATTTTTATATCTACTTACGTTGATTCAACATAAATTTTAAAATCAGTCATACAAAAATTTCAATAAAATAATTGTATTTCAAATAGAATTGTTTATACTAAAAAGTAAGATGAATGGTAATGCTTTTTAACGAGTAAAGTATAAAAGTATAATAATAGTTACCTACGTACACGAATAAACTGTATTCAATAAGAATAAGTAATAGTATAATAAATAATAATTACGATAGGTAATATTATTTTCTTAACCTATGTTTGATCGTTTATACCCAAAATAATTATAATGAATAGTAAATAGTAGCTTTTAAAAATATTTACAAAATAATAAGTCTACTCACCATGTCAATGTTTCTGAAAGACGTCTTCTATGCCTTTGTTCACACGACGGAGTTGATAAATTTGATGGATGTTTTTTCAAAGAGTTATATGTGGTTAATTTTCTATACTCTGTGTTGGAAACTAAATGTTCTAATTTATCTTCATCATCATATGCCTTTGACTTTACTTTCTGTAAACAACACAACATTTTTAGAACTTTTTATAAAAATGAATAAAAAAAATTAGGTGCAATTTGAAAAAATAATATAATAAACAATCCACAATTTATATGATTGCTTATAACTTATAAGACTATTCAGTATGAGAGAAATTAGAATACTAAACAACAAAATTAATGTACACTGATTGAATGCATTATCTTTACTAGTTAATGTTTATCATATCTATAAACGATAATAAAACTGGAGATATACATATTATAATAATATAAACATAATATTATGTTACATATTGGCCATAAAACTAAAACTATTTATTTTTAATTATTATAATAAACCGTTATAACATAGGTACCCAACTATAATAATACTAATTAAATTCAGAGCTAGATCAACAATATTAGATGGATTCTACTGATATTTGATTATTTATGAAACAGAGAACATGTTTATCTATTTTTTACAAAAATAATTTAAAATGGGAAAAAAAACCCTATTATGATTTACATTAAATCCGTGAGCCTATAACATGATAACATTGACATACCTAATACAATATGTTGGTAAATTAGACTGATTATTATGAAGTTTGATGGTAATAAATAATAATTAACAAAAGATAAATTCATAATTATTTTACGACACTGATATTTTTTAATGGCCACATTCCTATACATTGTAAAATTCTGGAAACAAAGATAATATAGATGATCCGTGAAATGTTCGTGGTAAAATATGGAAATCAAACTAGAAATGAACCATGTAGGTTAGCAGGGCGGTATACACGAGGTGTAGGAGATTCAACCACCCCACCCCCTTACAACATAGAAAGGGGCATGTACCGTTTCCGCCAAAATTTGAAATGACCGATTCCGCCATCGCCCGTTTCCGCCAAATTGAAAACGGTTCAATTCCCGTTTCCGCCAATCTAGTATCTACCTGCTATGGTAAAATTATTATAATATATTCCATAATACTTGGAGTATTATGCATATTATTTTTAAGGAATATTTAAATTTTAACTTGAGATAATTATTCCCAGTATACTGATTATTTATTAGAAACTTATATACACTTAAATTCAAAATTTCCTCCAAAAATATGGGCATGTATGACAGAAAGTTTATCTCAAACAACAAACAATTGTGAATCATTTCATTCACACTTTAATCAACAGTTCTACAAATCACACCCAAATATAAGTATATTTTTAAAAATTTTGGTTGAAAATGTCCAGACGGACACTTACATTACAATAAATAGCGGCAATTTAAATATTCTGAATACACCGAAAAATAAATCAACTTTGTTAAAATGGGCTAGGACTAGTAAGGCTATAACTGATTTTAAAAATAAACTAATATCGCGTTATTCGTACGTAAAGTGTGTTGCATTCAATTATGTTAAATAAATTAACAAAATATTATGACTTTTTAATTATTTTAATTTTTGTATTTATAATAAAACTAGGTATGACAAAATAGTATGTATTTTTTATTTGAGTATAATATATTTATCAATATACAATGTTCTCATCTCAAATATTCATATAATTTAATAGCTTGATAATGTGATTATGTTTTTATAATTATTGTGATTATTTAATATTTATTTTTACTATTTTAATTTATAAATTTAATTGGTGACAGGCTTAATATATGCATAATATTCCAAGTATTATGGAATATATTATAATAATTTTACCATAGCAGGTAGATTGGCGGAAACGGGAATTGAACCTTTTTAAATTTGGCGGAAACAGGCGATGGCGGAATCAGTCATTTCAAATTTTGGCGGAAACGGGTAATTCCCATAGAAAGTATATGAATGTATTTACTATTTATTATAAAATATTAATTATGATGATAACCCCCATTCGTTAATAAGAAGATAGGCATATATGGGGGGGGGGGTTGTTACAAAATTATACCATTGCCCGCAATCACACCACTGACTAATAGTTTTAAAACATTCCAGCGCCCATCACCCACTCTTGACTTATAAAAATGACTATAATTTTTAAAACACCTTAGTCCGTATACCTATTTTAAAAATGTTGGATATTCATTCTACACGGCACGCAACGCACAAGTTTGTAAATCAAGCCTTTTTTAAATTTCAGTTGCCTCGTCATTCACTGCACCCATCCAATGTCAAGGTTACATACATTCATAAATGCATTTATTAACACTACATGTCTACATTACTGCTGCTATCGTCGGATTATATAGTACCTATGTAAAATCTAATCATTATCTTTACTCCGACCAAAAAACTCATTCGACAACAAAACATTTCGACTATATTAATAAAATATTCGACCAAATGACTCGCACAGTCGCACCGGATTATAACATCCATATCTTCTAAAGTATAAATATATTACTATCGTGGATGATTATTTATTATCCAATGTCTTTAGTAGTGGCGAATGTAGGTCCCCTGCAGCGGTGACAGTGGAGTTAAATGTTATTGTCAAGCCGAGGTGAGCAGTCAAATGTGTCCTGCAGCAATTCACCGCCACCACTGCAGTGTGTGGGGGGACCTTAACTCCGAAGTATCGGCTTGCTCATTTGTCATAATGTATTTCATTGTATTATAGGAACACACATTTATCCCAAGATTAAATATTTAAAAAATGTTTACTTTCAATTTATTAATGCATTTTCTTTATAATTAACTAATAACACACACATTTTTTTTGCACTGTAACAGCCTAAACCTCTCAACAATCCCGTCTGGTGATTTCTCACTCTATGCGCTTCCCATTAGTTTATAGGTTTATGACTAGCCGCCTGCGCGCCACGCCTATGGTTTATAGGTCTATGTTGCTAGCAAAGCAGCCATCAGGTCTTGCCCCTTGGGAGTCGGGGAGCCTGTATTTCACAGCGATGATAAGCGTTGTATAACGCACCTAGCTATCGCATGCTATGACGCTCCAGACTTGGGTAGTATTCTGAATACTTTTTAAATACTTTTTTTGAAAGTATTCAATACGGTATTTTGAATACTTTTTACGAGTATTCGGAGTACAGTATTCGGAATACTTATTTTTTTTTATATAGGTATAATCTAATATATTACTGATTATTACTTATTAGTTATTAACTATATTAATTTGAATATAATTTATAACTAATAGATAGCCAGATATTTGTGTATTATCGAGATTATAATAATGTTCATTTATAAACAAAGAATTAAAAAAAATAATATTTTTGATATTGAAATCTAAATCTACTAAAAAAAATATTCGAAAAATATTTGGAATACTTTTTGTGAAGTATTCCAAATACTTAGGAATATTATTATCATAAGGTATTCGAATACATACTATGAATACTTTTTTTTAAGTATTCGGAAAATGTATTTGAAATACTTTTAAAAAGTATTTTACCCAAGTCTGTGACGCTCTATTAGTAAAAGTTACGATCACTAATTAAGATGTACAGGACACAGAACAAAACCTTATCAGTTGATGACAAGTTTCTTCAACTCTGACTCGTGGCGATGGGTAATCGACGGTGGTAGTTTTTGCACTATTCGTGAATTAGGATGGATATACATATATCGACCTTGATTGACCAATAGAAAACTATGGAGCGCGAATAGTCTGGTTTGAAATGGAGAAAATTCCAATTTAAAATTAAGGGGATCAGTGGGGGACAGTTATATCAGCTAAAACATACCAATTTTTATTCCATCATACTGATCAACCTAGTATTAAAATAATAGTTTATAAAACTGATTTCAATTTGTTATTATGTCTAATTGAGATCGGATGGTCTACTTTTCCCAATTTCACCCACCCAATAACTATAAATTTAGTTTGAATATTTAGAATTTAAATCAGAAATCTTAAAATGTGGACTGACCAATCTCAAATTTTCCGATAAACCACTTATTATAGTCGTTTAAAAGTTACTTACGAATACTAATGCTGAATGCATACCTCCGCATAATATTAGTTATTACTTATTAGAGTTACCTATGGTTTTTAACTATTATTATATTATATTTATGTATTATTATAATAGTCGTTGACTTTTAGAATAGTTTTAAATTGGTACATAATGCATGGGATATTTTTAACTAGAAATCATTTTTGTGCAATCCATCATAAGCTGGATTAACAGGATTTGAAGAAAATATATAGGTGGATAACAATATCCGTTAAATGACGTAGGAAAAAATATAAATGTATATTATTTGGGTCGAGGGTATTTTTCTCTTGTGAATGGTTTTTATAAATCGAGTGAAACTATAAACTATGAATACAGCTGACAAGACAAAAAATAGGCATTACTTCACGCTTAAAGAACATCATAATATTTAAACAATTCAGTTTTTTAGAAAATAATTCTGAATACCCAGACATAAAATAAAGACTTTTTACAAAAGAATTTATTATTTTATATCACACCGATTACCAAAGACTGAATCTCCCTTGGATCATATATGATATATGAGTAGTATAGTTAATCTATAGTATATGATCTAAGGAATCTCCTTTAACACTTACCGATAACAAAATATTATTATTATTATTTTTATTATTATTATTATTATTTTTATTATTATTATTATTATTATTAATCATTAATTGTCAATCTAAAATGTTAAAATTAATTTAAGGCAATGACCTGTTATCAAATTCATTTATACCTATTACGATATTTGTATAATATATAATTTTACACCAATGTTGATTTAAATTTTGAAATCCACAAAGTTATTCTTGAATAATGAATCGTAAATTACCCAAGATTCAATGAACTTTAATATGCTAGTAGTTAGGTACTGCACAATATACACACAATGTCACAATATACTACACAATGAGCATGTTAGCAGTGGCTGTCATTCGTTAAGAATACATAAATATTGTAAATAAAAATGAAACACTAGCATTAGATACCAGCAATACTTACTACTTACTTTATACTTACAAAACATTTATTAATATCTCATTATCTCATTATCTTTAAAACATTTTAGGGACGTTTCTCTTAAAATAAAGGAAATATAAAACCTATTTATTAAACTATTCCTTTATATTGGATAAATATATTAGTAATAAGCTGTTGCGTATATGCGCATAAATATACATTAGAAATTACAAAAATACACTCAATTATTGCAAAAATATAATATTATAAATTTGCACAACGCAACAGGAAATTTGACACGTTTAACCGTATAAGCCATAAGGTGCCGCATCCGTCAAAAATAAAAAAACATCATTATTTTTAATTCCACTAGGGTTTAATATTGCAAAATCTCTCAAATTTACCAATTAGATACCTTCCAAAAGTAGATGTGCGGCATGTCCGTGTAATTTCTATGTGGTAATCTAATAATAACAATATTCAAATATTGCCTTTGTCAGTTTGTCGTAAGTGTGGCTGCTAGTCGCACATTATGAAATTGTTTTCCATATTGTTACGATTTGAACAAAAATATCGAAATATGCTAAAATGTTTTGAAATGGAAACACATTTGCATTGAACTAGATTTTAGGTATACTAATTTCTTGGAAATATGCGATTGAATAAAGTTTTAAGTATATTTTATTTATAATATCATATCTAGTCTAGTTAATAAGCGAATAACTAAATAACCAATAATTAATTAATATAATATCATTAAGCCCCGTCCACACCAAAGAAAAATTTGTCGGAAACACGTGTTTCCAACATTGTCGTCGACAATGTTTCCGATTTCCGCTCATAAGCGGTAACATAAATATTTGTCGACGACAATGTCAGAAACTTATGTTTCCTACAAATGTTTCTTGGTCTGGACCAGGCTTTAGGTACACATTACTTTTAAAGCCATACTGCAGTGATTAATAACAAATGGAAATATTCTTAATATTTAGTTTTTGTTTAATTTTGTAAAATCCTTATAACCTTGAATGTTTCATGTTTACATTAAAAAAGTATTATATAAACCTCTACAAGCTATTCATTCAAGTGACTGTTGCTGAAAAGAATCTAAGTATAAAAATAGTACAATGTGATTGTGATCGTTATAATATTATCCTTCTTAATTTAACTGTTTTCATTTTTGTTTAAAAAAAATATACCGCAAATATCATAATTTATATTTTTATACATCCAAGTACCTATTATGATAACATAAATGTATGCACTGTACCTACAAATACAATCATGGTAGATACAATTTAAAAAATATTAAAAACCATGAAACTTATAATATCAAGTAGATGATAGAGGTGCATTAATTTAATATAATTGTGAAAGCGTTACCTCAGACACGTTGAGCGAAGGGAAATTGTCAATAGAAACATCTCTGGGCATATCTGCATACCTCATCTTTGCCATAGATAACTGATATTCATTCTACAAACAGTCTGCAAATGAAAACAAACCATTTCAATATAAAACTATACATAAAATAACTATATACTACCATGTAGGTAACACTCAAAATTGCATATAAATTATAACAAAAAATAGGTTTTATTTTCCTGTAAACTAAAAGAAATTGAAACGATGTTTCAAAAATATTATTAATTTATTTATTCTAATCAAAATTGTTATCATGGAATAGTTTGTAGCATGTAAAATATAAGCTAATTTTTAAAAATACCAAAAAATGATTTATCAGATATATTTTTATTTAGACAATTTATGCTGTGAGGCAAAATATTCGATTCACCCAGTGGCGCCGAGCTCTAAAAAAAGTACTATTGTCAAATTTATTTCAGAAAGTACCAGGTACCACCCACCAAAAATATTCCAACCAAACCATTCACCACTATTATAGGCGAATTTCAGTTTTTATTTAATTGGTTTAAGAATGAATACAAGTTATTTATTTTATTTAGTTCATAGGTATATTTTAGGGGGAAAGTATCGTTACAATCAAAATATAATCGCGTATACCTATACTTATATTATAGACTATAAAGGAAAGTGTAAACACCTTAGATCATAAAATACAAAAACATGGTAAACACCTTACACCATAATATTATATAGGTAACAGGAAACAAAACCGGTGTGGTGTTTGAAAAAAATACATTATACTAAAATATTGTAATATATTAATAATACACATCAATACATCATAATGAACTATGAAGTATGTATAGCCGTATAGGAGTGCCAAAGGTCGAGCGACTACGTTACATATAATATAAGTTACAATTATAATATAAATTGTTATTCATGAAAAAGAAGCTGTCAACAATTTCGTGTAGGTTATTTTAACCTTCTGTTAGATAGCTGAACAGTTTTTTATTGACACGAGAGCGTAAAGGAAGTATTAATTATATTGCAATTTATTATTGTTTCTATTAAAACAAATTGAACGGGCATGAGATATACGATGTAATTTATGTGTATCTATCTAAACTAAAATATTATTCAAATAACATTTTTATTATGTCTACAGTGGAATGCAAAAATAAATATTCAAATTAAATGTATTTTAATGATTAAAAATAATTAAATATTGAAAGAATTATGTAATTAAAAATAATTATTATTACTCTGTAATTTGTATGTTCCTAATCTAAATTACTTAAGAGTATAAAAATAAAAAAATGCACAGAAACTTTGATATTATTTTTACTTTCGTACAAAATCTTTAGAAATGTTAGTTCCATTTACTTATTTCTTTAATAATATTAGGAAGACGACGTAGGTACTCAAATGGATGTCTGCATGCTAACGCAGTAACATAGTTAAACACTTAAACATACAAAATGGTAGCAAATTTTAAGCTCAGAATCACTTTATTCCATTATTTTTAATAAGTGAATTGACGTATCGTCAGATTCAAATATTTCGATATTTAAATTTTAACACAAGTTATGAGCATTTTATATCCACTCTAATATTAAAATATATAACAGTAAAATGGATTATTCTGAAAGTAAAATTTGCTGTTATACTTTAGATAGAGACAATACGTTTAGGCCATGACGTCCTTTTAATCTCTTAATACTTATTTTAGTTTATTAGTAAATCGTGTGATGTTATAACAAACAAATAGTAAAAATTGAATTTAATATTTACCAAAAAAAAAAATGTTTAATACTTTACATTATATTTATAAACTGAATAGATTATTATTTTAATAATAACATTAATTATAATTTGTATTATCGAAGTCATAACAAATGAGATAATGAACGAACTACATCCGGTTATTCAGCATTGGTTGAATTCATTCAACCGTCATGCCCATGTTGTTAAAAATATCATAGGAAACTGTTGTATAGTTAATAATGTTAAAACAACCACGGATTTTTTCTAGTTATTTATTTGATTACTCGGATTCGATTGAAAAAATATTTTAATTTCTTAATTATTCTTATTTCTTAATATAGTTATAATTTATAACTATAAACTGATGGATAATTTCCACGTATCTAATCTCGTTTGGAATCAAGCCAATTAAATTATTTTATTTTACTGAACCAATTTGTTATAAATAACTTTCAATAATTGTATTATATTGCCTGTAATAAAAATTAATTTTTCTAGTTTTCTTCAATTGTTATAAACACATCGTACATTACAAATGTATCAAGTTCAGAAAAAAGTCAAAATGGAAAATAGTACTAATATTTAAAATTCAACTTATTACCAAGAATCTTGAAATAATTAAAAATTTTGTTCAGCATATTAATGCAAACATTTTTCAAGTTTTTCACAGATTTAACACAATAATTTAAACGTGAAATTGAGTTGTTTTAGTATGTTATACATTTATAAATAAATCGGGGCTTATCTAGTTATCTATAATTTGTTTGCAGAGGGTGAATGCAGGGGATGGTGGTTCATAAACCTCATGCTTTAGATATTATTATACACTCTAAATGTCTAAAATACGATTTAATATTTTATACATATTACTATATTAGTATATTACATATTATTATACAACGGTTCTTTTTCACAAAACTATACTTTATACGGCAAATGGCAATACAATGTAAATATAATAAGAATAACACATGGTTTATACCCCAAGGGCCAAGGCCCAAACATGTATTAGGTTTAAATGATTTATACTTTAATTTGGTATTAAATATATTTTTCTAATTATTTCTAACTGTAGGCTTTTTCAGAACTCGTATTCACAGTTCACATAATATACAGTGTACACATGTTTGACAAAAATACTTGAACAGTTGAACTTAAAGATAAAACAGTAATGTTAGACTACTCAGACTCATAAATAGTTCTTCATTCACGTACGGTCAATAACCCATGATAGCAATCATTTCCATTGTGGGGTCTATACTATTATTTGATCTATACGCGATTTGCAGCAAATATACGATGTAATGATAATATTATATTCAACTAAAATATTATAATCAATTCTTATAAAATAACTACAAATATAATATATTCTAAATCTAACAACAAAAAAAAGTGGTGTATTTACAAACATAGCAAGCTACTCGATATTTTTCACTTCTGAGAAAATTTATGAATCATAAATCTGTATCAATAAAGTAATGGTGTTGTATATCAGCCGTACCCAGCCCAAAAACATATTTATGTTAATACTATTGTATTTTTAACCAATATTCAAAATTAAAACAAAGATAATTTTCAATAATATAGCCATATAAGTAGGTAGGTACCTAAATACCTAATAAATTATAAACAATATTTTATATTATATTATTATTTATTATATTTTATTTTGCGGTTTTACTTACGCAAACACTTGCATAATATATTTATTTGTATATTTATCCGTGTGATTAAATTAAATAATAATAAATATAGAATTATATGATAATTTATTTCGTATCGTAGTTGTAATAAAAACCTTGTAATTTTAATTTGCACATTTTAACTTTTAAGTAAATTAAAATAACAAGATAACATAATATTAATATAACGTGACAAATATAATATGTGGTTAAAAATAAAGTAAAAAATATATGTAGGTATTAATTATTTTCATTATGGAATATATTAAACCTATTTTAATATTTTATTTTACAAATGAGTACAGTGTACACCAAACTTTAACAAAATGAAAATATAACAGCAACAAATTAATGAATACATTACTTTTTTCATGTTACCTAATAGAGCCTATTATACGATGCAATAATCATTTCCTAGGTATTCATTCAATAACCATTGAAATCAAAAATTTTAAATGTTACATTTCAGCAGAATCTATAATATGACATACAGTGGCATGCCCAGTTGGTAGGCCCGAGATTACACTGTATAACCTTAAAAAAGTAATTTTTTTAAGTCCTAATAACATTCTTAGAAAAAAAATTACATAATATTATAAAAATGATACAAGCTATAACAAAATTAAACCAAATGGAACAAAATGTTTTTATGTTGGTATACCAATTGTATTTAGGTGTCTACTGACGGAATTCATCACCTCCACATAACATATTATGATACTGACAGGAAAAAATATAATTTTATAGTTTAGTACCAACTACTAATTTATGTGTAATCCTTTGAAAAATTTAACCTAAATGGTTTCAAGTGAAAAGTGAATGACCAAGACATTTGTTTGAATTTGTGTGCCGTTGTTTTTTGTTATATATATATATTTATTGTTTATTTAATTTAATTTATTGTAAATTATAATGTATAATTAAATTAAATTAAAACAAAATAACTAGCCACTTTTTCAAAAGTGGACATTAAATGACAATAACAACAATAACAATAATAGTAGGTATTATACAGTGGTACCTCTTAATGTGATCACATTGGTTCAGGCCATTTTGATTCTATTAACCAGTTGATTAGGTACATATGCCGTATTTTTCAGCAGCCTCCCCCTCCCAATGAAATCAATGAAATATAACTCTGTATTATCTATTTACAATTAATAATCTAAAATATTTTTAGTACCTTTAAAGTTTAAATTAAACTCCAGAAATATTATTCATCTACACCAGGATTACAATACCATGCTACAAATCAAAAAAATAATACAAAAATATCCAAAAGTCTTTATAGTATAGGGCTTTCCAAAGTAGGAAAATAAATTCAACAACATATTATGTTATTAACAAAATCTATTAATTATACTCTTATTATGTAGTAATTCAGATTGTAATTGTTATGATAAATGTACATAGCTATTTAATAATTAATGAAAGACAAAATAACATAAAATTGTATTAAAGCATTGGCGTAAGTAGATAAGTGTAATTAGCAAAAGCGTGAGCTGGACATTTTTGCTGAGGGTGCACAGTACTAAAATGTTACCTAGCCTTATAACAAGTCAGGCCAGGAGTAATAAAAAATTAAAAAACAATTTGAATTGTGTATTTTACACACCTCTCATTGTGCGACAG